TTTTTTTTTTTTTTTTTTTTTTTTTTTTTTTTTTTTTGCTTTCCTATTTTCTTTGATTTTTCTGCCGCTGAACACATCAGACAAAAAGTTACCGCTGTGCGGCTTAGATTAGGAGGGGGAGTAGGCGAAAGAGGAGTACGAGACTTGGCAACTGGTTGCATAAAGAATCGATATTGAGATGGGGCAATTAGCGTGGGTGCCAGGGGCAAGCGGGGCAGTACGTGGGCCGGGGGTTGACGGCATCGACACCTGTTGTCGAGTAGAGCTAAATCCAACAGGCAATTACGAAACTTGTCTCACGCCAAACAGGTTTGTGCGCCCTAAGGGGGCTGTCAGAGAGGGCGTGGCATTGCAATTACAGTCAAAAGCTAAAGCTGCACTCCAAACTTTGAGCCACCCACATTTTGAGATCGGTTTGCCATAGCGGTGCAAAACATGCAAAACCGAAACTGAAAAGAAAGAAAAACAACTCAATTTCCATTCAAGTCCAATTATCACACACGACTTTTCCCACTGTATAATTGAGGAAACGCGAAAAGCAGCTGCAAAAATGTTTGTGCTCTGCTCTATCAATTAAGTGGCAAATCGAAAACATTTATCAATAGCCAGCAAAGACTGCGGATACACATTTCTCAATAATTATGGAGCATTATTGAACGCAATCATTGAGATTATATACCCAGTTTTCCAAGTGGAACACGATTTCTCAATAGTTTTTTAGTCGGTATCTTGGGCAGTTGTATAATTATTCCTATAATACTGTTCATGTTATTCGCGTTTCCACAGTCTTTTCGAACCGTATTAATTGTCAACACGGATTTTTTTTATGAAACCTGAATAAATTTGAATTAAATGGAGATTGTACCGTTATAATAATAATTTAAGAATTAAAAGAAGTATATTTTACAGCTATCTTTGTATATTTTTATTATTATTATGTATACATTATTTTACTATTATATATAAATATACTATATACATTATAATTAGTATATATTGAAAAATAAATAAATAAAAACAAATTAATGAATTTAAATCTATATTTAATTGCTTAATAATAAATTTTTTTTTTTATTTTGCTTTCAAATGAATATACTTTATAAATTAATAAAATCTTACATTTTACCGAAGATTGAGTTTGTTCAGAGTAAGTTACTTAAATCGGAAGTCCAACCGCATAAAGAGAAAGGAAAGATTAATATACAAGCTAATTGGCTTCAATTCGGTTTCGCACAAGATTTTATGTGTAGCTGTGAACAGAGATCTCTGAGATGATATATAATCAAAGATATGCTCAAAGTATATTGCGACTCTTTAATTTCTGCGAGATACGTTTATCTCATTTTTAATTCACAAATATTTCTAACTTATGCAGGCGGATATATATAAAATTATTTTGTAGGACAAAAATATAGAAAATACCTCTTGGATGGTCAGGATAACTTCTAGTCATGCGCTGTAGCCTAACTTTACATATTTAATTCATTTCCAAGTTGACATTTTTGCAGTGCCATTTTTTTATCCTTCTATTTTAATTAAACTTCAACTGGATTTGCATATTTGTATTTCGTTTTGGTTTGCAGACAACTCTAGAAAATCTGCACCCAAATGCAATTTATTATCCAAGCAGGAAAATTCAATTTCATTTGAGTTTTTCATTGAATTCGTCGCAGTCAACAATAGTTACCCCAAACTAATTCTGTGGTCCATTGAGAGCTCTGATTTATTGCATAATCAAAGAAGAGCTTAACCCTTGCCCTCACCGACTTTTCACTGGAAAACACTCGATACTCAGCAGTAATTGAATTATCTCACTAAAGTTTTCGAGCACTCGAAACACTTTTCACTTCACATCAATTATCTGGCATCGAGCGTAGTGTCGTAAAACAGTAAATGAGTTAGGAACATTTTGTCTTTTGTCTCGCTCCCCAACTCCGTTCGCCGTCGCCGTCGCCATCGCCATCGCCATCGCCAGCTCCATCTCTGCTGTGTGTTTCCGACTGATTTTTGCTACATTCCCACGCCCAATCACAGTGGGCAGCACGTAGAGCCAGCTAAATAACTCTTAATGAGTTTCTAATTAATTTCTATACTCTATAGTCATTAAAGTGG